GTATCGCTTTTGCACATAAAAATATTTTTATTATCGTTTTCCCGTTCAGAGTGAGGTTTTTAGGCTTTTATTTTCCAAAATATTGTAAGGATCACCTTTAAAAAAAAAAAAAAAAAAAAAAAAAAGAAAGAAAAGGAAATACTCGCGCTGCTATTGCCAATAACGCCGCTCGGCAAACTTTACAGTCTCTATTTGCAATTCATCTGTTGATTTTATCCTGCGTTCCACTGGATTTCGCTTCACTACTAACATTTTCCGGTTTGCCTTTACATTTTACGGTAATCCCCGACGACATGAAGCAAAAAAAACTGTTCGTTAAATATTTGTAGTAAGAAGGGAACCATCGGATGAGAGAGAGAGAGAGAGAGAAAGAGAGAGAAAAAATAGAGACTTAACTTAGAAAAACAATTTTGATTTATAGTGATAGCGCCAAAATTTGACTCGCGACTATTTCATCATGTAATTTGAAAACGAATTTCCAAGAGACTATTATTATTATTTCCAAGTATTCTCTTGTTCTAACTAATTACACGTATAATTAACTTATATATTTGTACACACACGCGATTCCGATTTGAAAACATCTGTACGAGAAGTCCGAAGTGAATGCAAAACATTTAGAAAACGAGCAAGATATATTCGCATCAAATACGAAGTATTTGTGAAAAAGCCCGTACCTCAAACCGAGAAAAGTAAACGATTCGTTTCGTTGGGTGCATTTTGATATTGATCATATTACAAAATTTCACAATGTATTCCGAACTCGTACACTATGCGACTAAACTGCGAATCTGAGCGTGAAAGCTGGAAGTTATCTCAATCGATCGCGACATCGAATCGAACGCAACGAACCGAAACGGTGATTCCCATTCGAACTGTTTCGTAGTTTTGGGATTCTCGGTGCAATACGATACGCGTTTCGAGTGCACGAACGTGTATACGCGCGCGCGCGCACGCACACACATCGCCATGCGAAGTGCACTTCATGAAACTTATCACCAAAGTTCATAGAACCGGATACTTCGGTAACACGGGCTTCGATGTGCTTAAATTCATTTTCAAACGCGGAGCATCGAGTTTCCACAACTCTCATACCGCGCGTGCGACTCGCATTGTACACGTGTGTGTGTATGTGTGTGTGTGTGTGCAAGCGCGTGCGCGCCGCCGCGTTCTTTTATTTTGTTTCACTTCTCCGTTCCTCGCTTGTCCCGAGCTCCCTTTTCGAAGATAAACGAGAACGAACGCTCCGCGCTTCGAGAACGCTCTCCATCGAGGTTTTATTTTTTTTTCTCTCCTCCCCTCCCCGAGTTGATTAAAGGCCGCGCCGCGGCCTGCCCGAGAGTTACAAAGTCGGATTCTATTACTTGTATATACCGTATAAAACAATTTACGGTCGCGACTCATTTACGATGGAATTGTGGTTTGTGACATCGCTGATGCACATTTCGAATTATAACGCACTTATTATAAAAATGTGCGGAATTATAGAGAGTTTAGAGAAAATTTAGATTATTTTTGAAAAATAATACCCCTTCGCGATAGAGATACCGTCAAGTTGTATAAAATCATTTTTATATCGTAAATAACACATATCAAATCTTGTATCCTATCAATAGCTCAACTCACACGTACGATTAATGACGCGTCGCTTTAATATCCCAGTTTTTAAGGTTGATGTCATGGAGTCTATTACACTTCAACCCCCATGTTGCCTATCTACAGTTAATATCCTAATCTTAGAGGAAGTATAGAGAGAGAGAAAGAGAGAGAGAGAGAGAGAGAGAGGAAGAGAGACAGCAGACAGAGGCTATTTTGTTGCAATGTCACCAACTTAATCAAGGTGTTTTCAACCGCTTCAATTTGAGCATCGTGTTTCTCCGTGACTCATGCGATTGTGCTGGTCGGTCGACCCGAGCTGAATAATGATCCGGGAAGGGCGAGATAGGGGTGAGGAACTTAAGTAGCTCGCGAGCGGACACGCGGCAAGGGTCGATCCGGTTATTCGACAACACGTAAG